GACTGGAATTATACCAGCCGAGCTTGGAAAATTGAAGCGTTTGGCTTACCTTAATCTTGCAGAGAACAAAATTACTGGACCTATACCACCAGAGGTTATGCATTCAACTAGCTTAACCTTACTAGGCCTCTCCAGTAATCATCTCAATGGAAGTGTACCTACTGAATTAGGTTCTTTGAAGAATCTTTCTTATCTGTACCTGAGCAACAACAACCTTAGTGGTGTGATCACAGAAGAACACATTGCAGACCTAAAAAGTTTAAAGATCATAGACTTGTCTTCCAATAATTTGAAGATTGTACTGGATTCAGATTGGCATTCTCCCTTTAAGCTACAAGGTGCAGATTTTGCATCATGCCAAATCGGTCCTCTCTTTCCAGCTTGGCTTCAGCAGCTGCAGGGAGTTGATTCACTCGACATTTCGAGCACCGGTTTAGAGGACAAGTTTCCAGATTGGTTTTGGTATAAATTTTCACGGGCAACATATCTCAACATATCCAACAATCAAATAAGTGGTCGCTTGCCGGCCCATTTGGATGGCATGGCTTTGGAAGAATTCTACCTAAGTTCAAACCGGCTCACCTGCTCAATACCTTCGTTGCTGACAAATATCACTCTGTTTGACATCTCCAACAATAACTTTTCAGGAGTAATACCATCAAATTTTGAAGCCTCCCGACTTCAGATGTTGATTATCTATTCAAATCGACTTGATGGGCACATTCCAGAATCTATTTGCAAATTGCAACAGCTGTTGTATCTAGATTTGTCGAACAACTTATTAGAGGGTGAAATTCCTCAATGTTTTGACATCCAAAAAATACAATTTCTTCTCCTCAGTAACAACAGTTTATCAGGAAAATTCCCACTATTTTTGCAGAATAAGACAGATATGGTGTTCTTAGATCTTGCATGGAACAAGTTGTCTGGAAGCTTGCCTACATGGATAGGAGATCTGGGGAGATTACGTTTTGTGCTTCTGGGTCACAATGCGTTTTCTGATAATATTCCGGCTGACATAACAAGACCTAGGTCCCTTCAATACTTGGATCTATCATGCAACAATTTCTCAGGTGTAATACCTTGGCACCTATCAAACCTAACAATTATGACAAACGTACAAAAGGAATTCATGGATACGGATGATGGGTATATTGGAGCCACAGAGGTTGACGGCCCGATCGATATGGGGGCTGGTCACCTCGGAGAAATATTGTCAGTAGTTACAAAAGGACAACAACTTCTATATGGTACAACACTTGTATATTTTGTGAGCATTGATTTATCAAGTAACTGCTTGACAGGTGAAATCCCTACAGACATCACTTCCCTTGCTGCACTGATGAATCTGAATTTATCATCGAACAAATTGAGTGGACAAATTCCAAACATGATTGGGGCCATGCAGTCATTGGTATCTCTTGACCTATCTGCGAACAAGCTCTCAGGTGGAATCCCATTAAGCTTGTCAAATCTAACATCTTTGGAAGCCTTGAACCTGTCCTACAACAATTTATCTGGAAGGATACCCTCTGGCCGCCAACTTGACACCCTCAATTCGGACAACCCGTCAATTATGTACATCGGCAATAGTGGACTCTGTGGGCCTCCTCTCGACAACAATTGTTCAGGAAATGAGACTTCTATCCATGGTGATCTTGGAAGCAGCAAGCAAGAGTTTGATCCACTGACCTTTCATTTTGGTCTTGTGCTGGGACTTGTGTCGGGGCTCTGGATAGTGTTTTGTGCACTGTTGTTCAAGAGGACATGGAGAATTGCTTTCTTCTCGTTCTTTGACGAGGCGTATGATCAAGTCTATGTATTTGTGGTTGTGAAGTGGGCAAGGTTTGCAAAGAACACAACTGCAGAATAAGCATTATTGTTCTGAAGGAGCCAGTGTGTGTGCTGCAACCCATTGGAGAGCTCTGGAACATTAACCAGGGTGTGGAAGATCTGAAGCAACATTTGTTATATTGTGTGCCTTGTTTAGACCTCTAAATTAAGATGAAGATGTTTAGTTCTTCTCATACATTTATGACATTACTATTGTCTAACACTCAAGTACTGTGCGTGCATGCAAGACCTTAGTATTGTTTAACTATCCCAATACATGTAATGTAATACCCCCTCTGTAAACTAATATAAGAGCGTTTGGATCACTAAAGTAGTGATCCAAACGCTCTTATATTAGTTTACGGAGGGAGTACTTTACTATTATTCTGGATTGTAATCATCAGTATCTTTCGTACATTACTATTATTCTGGATTGTAATCATGAGTGCCTTTCGCTGAACATCAACTTGTTTCTGCAATCGCAGTGAGTTAGTTCCCTTTGTTGCATGATAGGTTTGTCATCTGGAGGAAATCAATCTTGGATATTCCTGCAAAACTTCAGTTTATAGTCTTGTACTACATGTGAGTCTGTGGTGTACTACTCCCTTACTTTCTGAAGAGTACAAATCCAAGGTGTACAATATTCACGCGCCCGTGTTGGAACGTGACACATAGTTGTCGTGTCGCCTCCTCGTCGCCGGCCTGCTATTGGCTGAAGATATATTCTGGTCAGCATGAATTCAGGAATACATGCCTGGAGCCCTTGTGGTAAGTAGTAGTACGTTTTTTCAGTTGTTTTGTGCAGAAAAAAGCTACTCCCTCTGCAAACTAATATATAAGTGTTTAGATCACTACTTTAGTGACCTAAACGCTCTTATATTACTGTAGTTTACAGAGGGAGTACAGTACTACTAGTTTCTTCATTGCACAGAGTCAGTGAGGCTTGGTCAGAGTTTTTAGCGTCAAATTTCCGGAGTTCACTCGGTCTGGTTAAGTAGCTGCGGTTGTTTCATCCGTCGTCCGTGTTGCTCAGTCGTGTCTGAGCCTTCCATACTGCGAGGAGCACGCTTCCTTGTTTGTTTTTCCAGCCTCGTTTAGTGCGTATCAGCTCCATTCTGTTAACTTTCTCTGAAGTTTCATTCCACCTAGCCATTGTATATAGGATACTAAAGGGGACGTTGGATGCCGCCCGCCGTCCTGATGCCCTGCTCCTTCTCCCCATCGCCCCGCCCATTCACCAACGTCGCCTCCCCTACCGACGGCCGCCTTGTTAACCTTGTTTTGCTCCACCAATGGTAGGATTATTTGGGTTGTAATAATCTGGGCCATGCCCCTGTATACAAGGCAAGGCATGTGTGTGTGTGTGTGTGTGTGTCCCCTACTCTGCTCACCACCTGTTCGTTGATTTGCCTGCGCCAGGTCGTGCGAGAATCGTCTTCCCAGCTGAGTCCACCCGCCGTGAAAGGGAGGACGACGGAGACTCGGTGACCATCAACCAAACCGACACCTAAACTCGGGCAGAGACGGGCAGTTGCTCCATAGACGATGTCGAGGGATCGGTCCAGTCCTAGACCATGTGCAGTAAATTAGGATGGACGATGTCAATTGATAGAGGATCGTACGAACCATCTGTGCGCTGGAGCCTGTTCTTTTGGCCTCTATCTGCTAAATCGATTTTGGAGGATCATAGTCCACCTTATGCTACAAGGTATGTTGTTTTGTGCTGCTTCATATGCTCTTTTCAATCTCTTATCCTGTCATATGTTGTTTTCTGAAGTTGAAAACTCTAGTACAAAGTTTCAGCGACGTTGTAGAAAAAGAATCTGGTGTAGTACTATGCTGGAATGTTTATAACTGAGTGACTTCGACATTACCGTGTCATCACAGGCAGGTAACTAGTCCTATGCCTAGTGACTCCCATCATAGTCTGGCCACAAAATCGTATGAACAAGACTTGATTGAACGGGTTTCCTCTGTGACAACGTACTGCATCGAAGAATGAAGCACTTATAGGAATATTGCTTCAGTTTTAATTCAGAGAGACCTTCCAGGGTCCCTGAACAAACTATCGCTTATTTTCATAATTACAAAAATAGTCTTATGAAACTTTTGTTCCAGAAGATGGATCGCCCTTTTCCTTTTGCTTTTTTTTTCTGTCTGAGACCAAGTAATGCTGATCTTTCGCTTTCTATCTTCACAATTATTGCCATTATTAATGGTGCATACTTTTCTGGTCGATACTAATTACTAATATCCCTTTCCAATTAAATCTACTTCTATTTTTTCAATTAAATTTCAATGTTGCTTCTATTTGAAATGAAAACTATTTTTAAAACATAGTCCGCACATACTGAAAAAGAACCCTGGCAAACCAGAGGAAGGCAAAGAAAAAAAACTAAGCTAGCCAAGCCAAAAGCAACCGAAAAGAGAAGGCAAAAGAAGCAAAAACATGGTGAGCAACATGAGCGACTGAATTCCCCCTTGACAGTTGGCATCTATGCCCTCAGCGGCGGTCTCCAGCCAAACAGGGAGCTTGTCGCGGATAGGCTGGAGATCTTGCTCACCCTGAATCCAGAAATATACCGATGCATTGAGCATTAGTAGTAGCGTCAAAATTTCAGAGTGCATTCAGGATGGTCAAGTACTACTGGACTAGTTTGTTTTGTCTGTCATTAGTGCCAAAAACATAGCGGTGTTGTTCTTATTTTTTCTGAAGTTTCAGTCCAGGCAGGACGGATGTTGGACGTTGTATGGAGCAGTTCGCCCCTGCAACTCCGGTAGTCTGCCGACGCGACACGACGCGAGGACCGCATTGTCATATGTTTGTTCGAAGTCTGAAAACTCTAGAGGGTTTCAGCCTGCTGGAATGTTTAAGCGTGCCTCAATCCAGATTGCACCGTCCACATCCAGCAGAACTGAGTGATGACTTTGACAGTACCGTGTCGTTGCAGGCAGGCTACTAGTCCAGTGGCTGGTAACTTCCATCATAGCTGGCCACAGAATTGTATGAACCAGACTTGATTGAATGGGCCTCCTTGAAATCCTGAAGGACCGGGAGTTTGACCGTTGACTCCGTAGTATGGCCAAACATCTCTGGTAGTATGGCTCTGCTACGTAGCTAAATACTAGTAACACTCAGCCTGTAGCATACAGAACTAGTGCGTTTGATGCTTCCCCAGCTACCCAGCTCTTGTTCTTCCATCATGCATCGCACAACCAGTCTCCAGTTCACCACCCTCATCATCATATGCATCGCTTCTTTTTCACAAGTGGTGCATGCACTAGCACTCCAACCCCAGCTTGTGCATGCCCATGGTGGCGGCTGCATCCCAGCCGAGAGGGCCGCCTTGCTCTCCTTCAAGAAGGGCATCACAACTGACGGCGCGCATTCCCTCACCTCGTGGCACGGGCAGGATTGCTGCCGGTGGAGGGGAGTCGGTTGCAGCAACCGAACAGGCCATGTTATCAAGCTACACCTTCGTCGCAGTACAGTTCGGGACCCTGACGACTATTACTATGATGGGTGCTCTTATGCTAAGTCATTGTTCGGCGAGATAAGTCCCTCTCTTCTTTCCTTGAAGCATCTAGAGCATATGGATCTTAGCATGAACTGTTTGCTAGGGCCAACTGGTCATATTCCTCAGTTCTTGGGGTCCATGGAGACTTTGAAATATATTAACCTCTCCGGTATTCCATTTACCGGTAGAGTTCCTTCTCAACTTGGTAATCTGTCCAAGTTGCAGCATCTTGACCTTGACCAGGTTTACCTTGACAGTTCCGGGATGTCCTCAACGGACATCACCTGGTTAGCAAAGCTACCATTGTTGCAGCACCTTAGCTTGAGCGGTATAGATCTCTCGATGATAGCTGACTTGCCTCGCACCTTGAATATGATTCCATCTCTAAGGGTTATCAATCTTGCTAGATGTTCCCTTGATACTGCAAGCCAGCCGCTTCTCTACCTTAACCTGACGAAACTTGAGAAGCTTGATCTGTCCTTGAATAATTTAGGCGACTCAATTGCATCAAGTTGGTTTTGGAACGTGACAAGCCTCAAATACCTAAGCCTTCGTGAGAATTATTTTGCGAGTTGGTTATCTGGCAAACTTCCCGATGCACTAGGAAACATGACGTCACTCAAGGTCCTTGATGTGTCAGCTACCAATCTTAATAAGACAGGAAACCTTAAAAATCTTTGCTCTTTGGAAATCCTCGACCTCTCCGAAAATCGTATGAATGGAGATATAATGGTCTTGATGGAGGGGTTGCCGCAATGCACATGGGAAAAATTGCAGGAGCTAGAGTTCGGTGGAAACAAATTCACAGGGGTTGTGCCAAATTTTATAGGGGAATTCAGCAGCCTGAGCATGCTTTACCTGTACAGCAACAGCATTGTTGGACCTTTACCGCCAGGGCTTTGGAATTTGGTGAATTTAACCATCCTGGATCTTAGTGAGAATCAGCTCAACGGGAATGTACCAACTGAAATTGGTGCCCTTACTGCTCTGACTTCTTTGGACATGAGCAGCAACAACTTGACCAGAAATATACCAACCGAGCTTGGAAAGTTGAAGCATTTGGCTACCCTTTTTCTCGCATTTAACAAGATTACTGGACCTATACCACCAGAGGTCATGCATTCAACTAGCTTAACCGCCCTAGACCTCTCCAGTAATCTTCTCGATGGAAGTTTACCCACTAAGTTAGGTTCTTTGAAGAATCTGGAAGTACTGGGCCTAAGGAACAACAACCTTAGCGGTGTGATCACAGAAGAACACTTTGCAAACTTGAAAAGTTTACAGTTCATAGACTTGTCTTCCAATAATTTGAAGATTGTAGTGGATTCAGATTTGCGTTCTCCCTTTAAGCTAGAGTCTGCAGCTTTTGCATCTTGCCAAATTGGTCCTTTCTTTCCAGCTTGGCTTCAGCAGCTGCAGGGAATAAATTCACTTGACATTTCAAGCACCGGCTTAGAGGACAAGTTTCCTGATTGGTTTTGGTATACACTTTCGCAGACAACATATCTCGATATCTCTAACAACCAAATAAGTGGTAACTTGCCAGCACATCTGGATGGCATGCCTCTGGAAGAACTTTATCTAGGTTCAAACCGGCTCACCGGGTCAATACCTTCGTTGCCGACAAATATCACTATGTTAGACATCTCTAACAATAACTTCTCGGGAGTAATACCATCAAATATTAGAGCCTCCCAACTTTACATGTTGTTTATCAATTCAAATCGAATTGCTGGGTCTATTCCAGAATCTGTTTGCAAATTACAACAATTGTCATATCTGGATTTGGCAAACAATTTTTTGGAGGGTCAAATTCCTCAGTGTTTTGATATAAAAAATGTGAAGTATCTTCAGCTCAGTAACAACAGTCTATCAGGAAAATTTCCTGCATTTCTGCAGCATAACAAAGATATGGAGTTCTTGGATCTTGCATGGAACAAATTTTCTGGAAGAATGCCTACATGGATTGGAGATCTGGGGAAATTACGTGTTGTAAAACTGAGCCACAATGCATTTTTTGATAATATTCCAAACGGCGTAACAAGCCTTGGGTATCTCAAATTCTTGGATCTATCATGCAACAATTTCTCCGGTGTAATACCTTGGCATCTATCGAACCTAACACTTATGAATACATATGATAGACATGTTGAATTTGGATTCATGGACATTGGTCGCGCGGGCAAGGGTGGAGTTGGTCTTTACCAGAGGACAGCAGAGATGTCAGTAGTTACAAAAGGACAACAACTTGTATATAGTAGTACATTTGTATATCTTGTCAGCATTGATTTATCCAGTAACTCCTTGACTGGTGAAATCCCTACGGACATCACATCCCTTGCTGCAGTAATGAATTTGAATTTATCGTCCAACAAATTGAGTGGACAAATTCCAAACTTGATTGGGGCCATGAAGTCACTGGTATCTCTTGACCTCTCCGAGAACAAGCTCTCTGGTGAAATCCCATCAAGCTTGTCAGGTCTGGCATCATTGGAGGCCTTGAACCTGTCATACAACAATTTGTCTGGAAGGATACCATCTGGTCGCCAACTTGACACCCTCAATTCGGACAACCCGTCAGTTATGTACATGGGCAATAGTGGACTTTGTGGGCCTCCTCTCCAACAGAATTGTTCAGGAAATGATTCTTTCATCATCCACGGCAATCTTGGAAGCAGCGAGCAAGAGTTTGATCCACTGACCTTTCATTTTGGTCTTGTGCTTGGACTTGTGTTGGGGCTCTGGACGGTGTTTTGTGCACTCTTGTTCAAGAAGACATGGAGAATTGCCTATTTCCGGCTCTTTGACAAGGCGTACGATCAAGTCTATGTAATTGTGGTTGTCAAGTGGGCAAGATTCACAAACACAATTGCAGAATAAGCATTATCTTTCTGAAGGAGGCTGCGTGCGTGCTGCAACCCATAGACAGAAAGCTCTGGACTGTTAACCTGGGCGAGGAATATCTTGAGCAGCATCTCGTGTGCCTTGTTTATACCTCTAAATAAGGATGAAGATGCTTAGTTCTTCGGATACTATTTACTACTGTCTAGCTATTACAGTACACGCAAGACTTCCGTATATTGTTTAATTATTACGATACATGTAAGACTTATGTACTATTCTTTGTGACTGTAATCATGGGTGTCTTTCACTGAATAATTTCAACTTTTTCTGCGGTTACAATCAGTTTAGTGTTTTCATTTGTTGCACGATGGGTCTGTCGTCTGGACTAAATCAATCGTGGAGATTCCTGCAAAACTTCAGTTTATAATCTCGTACTCTGTGATGCACCACTCCCTTGATTTACCGAAATAGGCTTTCGCCACTCCCTTGATTTGTGAAGAGCACAATGCACATGATGATTTTTTAGAGCTGCATTTGGTCCTCATCTGGGTTGTATTGTTCTCCCCTCACGTGTTGCTTTCCAGTCGCCCGTGTTGTTCAGTCATGCCAGAGCCTTCCGTACTGCAAGGAGCATGCTTCCATGTTTGTTTGTTCACACCATTTATCCAGCCTCGTTTAGTGCGTAGCAGCTCCATTCTCTAAACTTTCTCTGAAGTTTCAGTTCCGCTAGCACGTCCACAGCAGCAGCTAGAAGAGGATGCAGAGTACCACTAGACCCAGATATAGTAGGATGGATACTAAAGGGGATGAGGGAGGGTGGATGCCGCCTGCCGTCCTGACGCCGCTGCTTCCATTCACCAATCCTACCAACGGCCGCCTCTTTCCTTCACCAATGGTAGGATTACTGCTACTTGTTAACCTTGTTTTAGTTTCAAGCATTCTTTATTTGTGTTGTAATAATCTGGGCCATGCCCCTGTACTCAAATCGTCGACTTGCTCTGTACTAGTACAACAACATATGGCATATCTCTTCTGTTCTTGCAGCTGGAGAGCTCTAACCCCAGAAAATACCAAAAAGATAAGGCCCAGAAAAATCCCCTCTGTTATGTGTGTGTGTGTGTGTGTGTGTGTGTGTGTGTGTGTGTGTGTGTGTGTCGTACTCTGCTCACCACCTGTTCGTTGATTTTCCTGTAGCAGGTTGTGTGAGAATCGAGTTCCCAGCTAAGTCCAGCAAGGACGAGGAAGACTTGGTGACCATCAACCAACCAAACACCTGAACTCGGACAGAGACTGACAGTTGCTTCATAGACGATGTGAGGGATCGGTCTAGTCCTGGACCATGTGGAGTTTAGGAAGGACAATGTCAATAGATGGAGGATCGTATGGATCATCGGAGCAATCTTTTCGCCCTTCATTTGCTTAATCGATTTTGGATGATCATAATCCACCATCTGCTGGAGATGCTACAAGGTATGTCCTTTTGTGGTGCTTAATGCTCTATTCAGTCTCTTTTTGCTGTAATATGTTGTTTGAAGTCGAAAACTCTAGTAGAAAGCTTCAGCAACCTTGTAGAAAAAGAATCTGGTGGAATTCTAGTCTGGAACGTTTAAGCCTGCTCAAGTCCAGACTGACTTCAACACTACCATGCCATCGCTGGCAGGCAACTGGTCCTATGGCCACAAAATCAATGTCTGGCCACAAAATCGTATGAACAAGACTTGATTGAGTGAGTCTCCACCGAGGAATGAAAGCATTTCTAGGGATATTGCTTCAGTTTTAAATCAGCTACACTTTTCAGGGTCTAGTAGATAGTACGAGTCTAACAAAACAATCGCTTATTTTCATAATTAGTGAAGCTCTTATGAAATTTTTGCCCCATAAGACGGATCATCCTTTTCCTTATGTTTTTCCTTCCTGATTCAGTGATGTCAAACAAGCAGAAGGCCTACTTTCATATATGTAAACCTGGACATGGCTCATGTATCTAAACGGTGAATGTTGAATATATGGTTGTGCATGTATATTGTATATCTTGGTCCACCTCCTAGTCATTGTATAATTAAGGTCGAGGCCCACTTTGTACACCCATATATACGTGCGTTATGCACCGATCAATACATCGAATTGCATTGCCATAATCTCTCTCAACATGGTATCATACCTACGATTCTAACCCTAAACCCTGCCGCCGCCGCTGCCACACCCTGCCGCTGATGCCGCTGCGTCTCCCACGCCGCCGCACCGCTGCCCGTGTGTCCAGCCGCCGCCTCCCTTCCCCCTACCTGCTTCCGCTCCTTCTCCCCTAACCCTAACCAAGCCGTGCCGACACCCCTAGCCGCCGCCACCCGTAGCCGCGGCACCTCCCCTTCCCCCGCACCGCATGGAGTCCCTCGGTTCCTCCGCCTCCACCCGCACCAACCCGTTTGCCGGCCCCGACCCTGTTCTCATCCACGATCTCAATATCCTCGGTCGGGTTCCCGTCATCCTCGATCACCTCACCTCCACCTACTATGCCTGGAAACTTATTTCTCCCTTGTGTTCCGTGAGTAGAATCTTCGGGATCACGTCGATGGCTCCGTGGACTCCCGGTTCATGCAGGACGATGAAGAGTGGATGACCATCGATGCCACTCTCATCCGTTGGTTCTACACCACCGTCTCGAAGGACCTCTTCCACACAGTGGTCTCTGCCGAGGATGTTGCTCACGCCGTCTGGACCAAGCTCAACGGCCTCTTCACCGACAACGCGTTTCAGCGCAAGGTTTTCTTGCACGGCGAGTTTTTTGGATGTTAGCAGCACGACTCGTCCATTGACGAGTAAAGCATGCGCCTCAAGAAGCCTGTCGACGAGCTCCGTGATCTTGGTGAGAAGGTCTCCAACGAGCTTCTTCTCAGCACGCTCATCGCCCGCCTGAACGACGACTTCGGAAACGCCGCCTACAGCCTCCCCCTCATCACTGATCCGACTTTTCCCAAGGTCGTGGCGTATCTGAAGCTCGAGGAACAGAGGATGAAGATGTCGCGCACTCGGGCCACTCACACGGCCCTCACCGCCAGTACCCGCGGTGGTTCCCCGCCCGCCGCCCCGGCTCCTCAGCCGTGGCCTGGCCCGGGCCCCTACCAGGCGCCGCCCCCGCCTGGGTTTCCTTACCCGCAGCAGCCGGCCCCCGCCGAGCGTCGTCGCGGCGGCCGCCCTGGCCGCAAGCAGCAGCCGACCGCCCAGGGCGGGCCCGCTCGCAAGCAGCAACAGCCGCTCCCGCCGGCGCCATGGCAGGTCGGCCAGAACCCCTGGACGGGGGTTGTCCACGCGTACTCCATGCTCGTACCGCGCGCCCCCGTCCCCGGCTTCTTCGACACCCGCCCGACCACTCATCAGGCGCTTCATGCGGCCCCTCAGCCGTATGCGCCCGCGCTGCCTTACGGCCACTCCGTGCCCTATGGGGCGCCTTCGGCTAGTGGGTACCCCCTACTCCTCGCAGCGCCACCACCACAGCCACAGC